TGGTGTCACTCGTGTCGTTGGTGTCACTGGTGTCGTTGGTGTCACTGGTGTCGTTGGTGTTACTTGTGTCGTTGGTGTTACTTGTGTCGTTGGTGTTACTCGTGTCGTTGGTGTTACTCGTGTCGTTGGTGTTACTCGTGTCGTTAGTGTTACTGGTGTCATTGGTGTTACTTGTGTCATTGGTGTTACTGGTGTTGGTGTTACTCGTGTCGTTGGTGTCACTGGTGTCGTTGGTGTCACTGGTGTCGTTGGTGTTACTTGTGTCGTTGGTGTTACTTGTGTCGTTGGTGTCACTCGTGTCGTTGGTGTTACTGGTGTCGTTGGTGTTACTTGTGTCGTTGGTGTCACTCGTGTCGTTGGTGTCACTGGTGTCGTTGGTGTCACTCATGTCGTTGGTGTCGCTCGTGTCGTTGGTGTTACTCGTGTCGTTGGTGTCACTGGTGTCGTTGGTGTCACTGGTGTCGTTGGTGTTACTTGTGTCGTTGGTGTTACTCGTGTCGTTGGTGTCACTGGTGTCGTTGGTGTTACTCGTGTCGTTGGTGTCGCTCGTGTCGTTGGTGTCACTGGTGTCGTTGGTGTCACTGGTGTCGTTGGTGTCACTGGTGTCGTTGGTGTCGCTCGTGTCGTTGGTGTCGCTCGTGTCGTTGGTGTCGCTCGTGTCGTTGGTGTCACTGGTGTCGTTGGTGTCACTGGTGTCGTTGGTGTCGCTGGTGTCGTTGGTGTCACTGGTGTCGTTGGTGTCACTCGTGTCGTTGGTGTTACTGGTGTCGTTGGTGTTCCACCTTCAGTTTTCAGAGTTCTGAATATTCAACAGGACTCCTGCTGTCTGTCAGCAGCTCCAGATGATGAGGCTGAAGCTGCTGAAGCTGCAGAAGGAGCTGAAGGAGCTGAAGGAGCTGCACGCTGTGACTCCAGCTCTGCTTCCATCAGCCTCTCTCCTGGACAGAACCATAAACTGTTAATGAGGGAAATGAGCGGAGCCACATGGAGTCAGAAGTGGGTCAAACTGCCACGTCTGATCGTTTTAAACAGCAGAGGAACAAACTTCATTTCTTTCAGCAGCTTTTATGTATTTTCTTCTTTATCATAGAAATAATACGTGATTAAACTGAATGTTTTGTGTCCACATGTGTTTAAAGAACTAATACAGATATTTGCTGAGTACAGTTGTTACTTTGAAAAGATGTACTATTTGTTGTACAGCAGTAGGGGGAGGAAAGGAACTGAAAATGTTTCCCTTCAGGACATTTCAGAGGAGTTAGAAGCTCAGACTCCTCACTGACTGAACATCTGTAGAAAAGCTGGTTTTCTGCAGACACAAATAATCAGGTTTGTAAAAAAACATGAGCTGCTGCTGGTTTTTATCACGTTTTCCTGCTTTCAGTCTGCGCTTCTTTAACAATCATACACAACGAATATCTGTTATAAACACTGAGATCCTGATCCTGATCCAGATCCTGATCCTGATCCTGATCCTGATCCAGATCCTGATCCTGATCCAGATCCCTGAGTGTGAGTGAGCTGGTCTGTCTGAAAAAACACTTCAGATTCTGTGAAGATCAACATCAGTTTGTGTCGTTAAAACACCACAGCTGCAAACAAACAAACAAACAAACACAAACAAACAAACAAACAAACACAAACAAACAAACACAAACAAACAAACAAACAAACAAACACAAACAAACAAACACAAACAAACAAACAAACAAACAAACAAACACAAACAAACAAACAAACAAACACAAACAAACACAAACAAACACAAACAAACAAACAAACAAACAAACACAAACAAACACAAACAAACAAACACAAACAAACAAACAAACAAACAAACAAACAAACAAACAAACAAACAAACAAACCCATCACAACAGCTGAAACAGCTGAAGTTCTGAAGTTCAGCTGTTGGTCTGAACAGAAGCTGAAGAACTGAACTTCATGGTTTCTGAGTTTGGGTCTAACTCGTTCCTCTGTTTTTTAAGAACTGGTTCTGGTTCTGACCCAGTCAGGAGGAGCAGAACCAGATGTTCTGTTAGAGAAACATCAGACTAAATGGGTGAAAAGTTTGTTTTAGAAAAAGCAAAGATGTTCTGTTCATCAGTTCTGGGTTCTGTTCTGGTCCGGATGGGTGGGTGGGCTCTTCCTCCATGCTCGCTCGTGCAGAGTGACGTCACACAGGGTGGTCCTGTAGTTCTGAGGCCGGGGAGGACAGATCCTTCAGGTTTCAGCTGGGAGGCGGAGCTGGTCCTCCGAACTTCCACAGAACTTTCAGTCCGCCTCGCTCCTGGTTCCATCGAACTTTATCTGAAACCAGAACCTCCTCATCCCGTCTGAGTTCTGACTGATCCGGGTCCAGTTCCCCTTCAAGTTCTGCGCTTTTCTTCTGGAACAAAGTTCAGAACCTTCTGAGGTTCGGGATGGCCTTCCTCTCCCTGGTTCTGCTGGTTCTGCTGGTTCTGGGCTCAGTTTGGACCTCAGCAGAGAAGGTAAGGTTCTGCGCGCCGCTTCGTGAATGACGCGGCTGCGCCTGGTTTTACGCACAAACTGCAGCTGGAAACGCGCACGCGCCTTCCTGTGTGCGCGCGACACGTTGACCCTGCAGGAGTTCACGAGAGTTCTGCTGAACTCACCTGGAACCGAACCGAACCGAACCGGACCGTTTTAACCAGTTTCTCCCTCTTTTCCAGGTCACTGCAGGAACACAGAGACACGGTGAGTCCTCACACACACACACACACACACACACACACACACACACACACACACACACACACACACACACACACACACACAC